AAGAGCCATAAACCCCTGCTGCCCCTTCGTCTTCTCCCCGTACCTTTTGCTCAGTATTAACTTTATTGTTTACCTCGTGTATTTGACTCTGTATTTGTTTTCTATGGACTCAGAAGTTTATGAGATATTCTGCCCAAACTCTCTCTCCTTTGTATTTTAGATTCTGTATTATGTTAATCTTGTCAGGAGCCTACGCAGCTGGCTTAAATTTAAGCACTGAATGAACATCCCGCCCTGTATCAAAGGTTAATGCCAGGTTTTCTGGGAGTTTCTCTGAATGTTTTCTTTCAGATACCAGCCACAGAGACTCTGTAAATCACAGCACCCACTGCCCCACATTCAGATTGATCTAAGGCACATAAGCAAATATTTCTGGGTTTTTGTTTGTGCTTTGGTAGCACATATAGTTTTGTTTCTTTTTATTTTCATTCAAATTTCTCTAACACAGTTTCTTTACCACCTTTGTCCAAACAAAATGGACAATACTGAAAACAGCATTTCAGAATCTGAAACTGCGAGGAGCAAAGCTATCTTCTGGCCACCTCCTTTTTTTCCTGGCACCCATTGTTTACAGCTCCGGAGTCTATTTAAAGTAAACTTGCTTCATAGCTGAGAAGTTGGTTGATGAACAGTAGAGTCATATTTACAAGAAAGCTGCTTAATGACAGTCCCAAGCAAAGGAGGAGAAAAAGCCCTTTCCTGATTACCATGAGTTTAACTCTTGCATTGTAACCTCGTGAATTCTGTTATTCCCATCCCTCAGCAACTTACACTTCAGACAGCAGATGAATGGTGGAGCTTTGTTGATGGTTGTAATCGTTGCTAGGGGACAGTCTGAGGGAGGTGAATCATGCCATTTACAGTCAGCCTAAAGGAACATTTGGAAATGCTTGAGCTTAGAAATTTCCTTCTGAGGTCTGTGTTGCTGAGAGTCGAGTGCTTTGTGGTTGTGAAGAGAGCTTTGGAAATACACATGATGATAACGGAGGCATTAAACATCCTGGTGCCTTTGGTTGCTTGTACCTTTGCATGTGTTTTAAATCATCGTTCTGGTGCTTCTTACTTTGATAACTATGTTTTTAGTTAAAAGCTGACCATGTGCAAATGGTATGAAAAGAAAGCTGGTGCAAATCTCATTAAAATTAAATACAACATTTTTTCATCATTTCTTTACTGTTAAGAAGCATGATTTCCAAATGCAATTTCATGTACGTGTCTGAATCTGAACTTTCTTGGATATATTCACAGGCATTATTTTATTTTCTTGGACATATTCACAGGCATTTATTTTATTTTGTCTGCTGCAGAAAGGCAGCGGCTTCAGGCACCACCGGAAGTGAGAACTTGACCTGTAGTAAGTAGGTGAGGTTTTCCAAGCTACGTCTTCGGTGAGACACAAGGTGGCTAAATAAAAGCGCTCCCGCTATAAACGCTAAGTAACAGTTTGGAGAGCCCATAGAGGAAGCAGTACACTCCTAGCTGGGGCTGACCGGTATGTCATGGAATTACTGAGGCGAAAAAACCCAATGTACACGGTTTGGGGTCTAACAGCCAGGGTGTGTTTTTTGCCCAGGGCAGGCGGCCTGACCTCCCTGGGTCCTGCGCTGCGTACCCCGGCCCGAACTTTGCAGGACTCCAGGGCAAGGCGAGCCTGGTCTCGTTCCTCCTCAGGTCAGCAGGGTTTTACCGACGCGCAGCGGCGCGGCCAGCTTCAAGTCCGCGGCTCAAGAGAGGAGAGCAGTTAGACTGGGGGCCTTTAGAAGGCTCTCGGTGCGGCATTCCTCAGCCTGCCTCCCACAGTCCTTCAGCTCTCCCCGCTTCACCTGAGGGCTGCAGGCCCCCGCGGCGCTTCCGTCTCCCCTTGCCACGCGCGTTCAAGGAGTTTCACAGTGTCTTGCGTCCCACATCAGCGGTACCGCTTTTCAAAACAGGAAAAATGTTACTTCCTGCTGTTGCTTTGCTCTCAGCACCGGAGGTGAGAACGCAGCCGCCCCCCCGGCGCCGCAGCACCCCGC